GCGGGGGCTGGGCCGGGGGCTGGGCCCGGGGCCGCGGCCGGGGCCGCGCAGGAGGAGGCGGAGGCCGCGCCGGGGGCCGGGGCCGGACCCGCTCGCCGGGCTGCGCCCTCGGCGCCGGGCAGCAGCTTGTAGAAGCCCTCGCGCGTCCGGAACTGCGACTTGATCTCGGCGCAGTCGCCCAAAACCCCCGCGCCCGCGCCGCCCTCCGCGCCCGCCGCCATCTTGGGCCTGGCGCCCCTCCGCCCCTCCGCGCGCCCCCGCCCCCGCGCCCCGGTTCGCCGCACCCGACGCCGCTTCCGCCAGAGGCTCCGCCTCCCGCAGGAAGGGGCGGAGCGCCGCCCGGGCAACGGCCTCCCGGTTGGGGGAGAGGCGCAGCTTCTGGTGGATTGATTTAAGTAGATTGGTCAAAGGGCGGGGCCAGGCAAGGAGGCGACTGAAGACGTCGTCCCGGCAATGAGATCCCGATTGGGGAGAACGTTAGGGGCGTGGCTCCGGGCGGGGGAGGAGCAGCTGTTGTCTTGGTAACCGGTTGCCCATTTGGGGAAGTAGGAGCTACAAGTGGTTTGGAGCCCTTAAGAAGGAAAAAGGCGTTGCCAGGGCAATAGTTGGAGGCTTAGGCTAGCCCTAGGCAATAGGAGGGGCCGTCACCACAGCAACGGCCTCGCGTTTCGGGGGCTTGACGTCGTTTTGAACGCAGGGAAGGGCGTGAGGAGGGTAGAGTGGTTGCCAAAGTAACCGAACTGTGATTGGACGCGACTAAGGGGGCGGGACCTCAGAGAGAGGAGGGAGCAGGGAATGGGCGGGTCCCTAGCAACGGCGCCGCTTCCCTAACGACGGGGAGGCGGGGCGACTTGTCAACCTTCCACAGGGATGATGCTTAGGGGACAGAAGGTTTCTAGGAAGAGCTTTGTAGAGCAGGTGGAATGAGGGTCTTATGGGAAGGACAATCAGGAAAGGCTAGGGGGGACGCAAGGATGAGGACCCTGGGGAACGGATCCTGAAGACACAGATCCCCCGGGGCCTCGCTTGGGCCTGGGGGGGCGCCAAGCCAGATCCCTAAGCAGGCCAGCTCCATGGGGGGACTGGTATTTTTAAAGGAAAACACCCCACTCTTCTCCAATGTAGAAAATAAATAATTGAGTAAATAAATATTCACAAAGTAAGAAATCCCCTCCCCTTAGTCATCAGCATCCTCATCCTCCTCGTCCTCCTCATCCTCCTCCTCATTCTCGGCTGCCGCCAGGGCCTGCTCCTGGGCAGCCTTCAGGGCCTGCTCCTCTTCCACCGTGGGGTCGGCCATCTCCACGGTCTCAGGCCCAATGACGTACTCTGTCTGCACCGCCGGTGGCAGGGTGGGGTTGAAGTTCTCCTGGCTGTACTTGTGACCCCAGCCGATGTAGATGTTCTCAAATTTCCTGGGAGGGGGTGAAAGAGGACACTTTCCATGGCTCTGTGAGGCTCTGGATCATAGGACCCCCAGGGACCTTACACATTATCTAGTCTAGGCTTCCCATTCCACCCAGGGAGAAAGTATGACATAATGGAAAAAAAAGAGCCAAGGGCACCCTGCTGGGGAACCAGCTGTGTGACCCCGGGCCAGTGACTGCCCCTAGCTGGGCGAAGGAGAGGGCTGGATTATCTTTAAGGAGCCTTCCAGCTATGATACTAATGAAAGCTCGGGGCAGCACAATGCAGAGAGCACTGGCCCTGGAGTCAGGAGGACCTGAGTTCAAATCTGGCCTCTAACACTTACCAGGTGACCCTGGGCAAGTCTCCAAAAAAAAAAAAAAAGAAAGAAAAGTAGTAATAAGTAATAAAGATAGCTAACATTATACAGGCTTTAAGGTTTGCAAAGAACTTTGCAAATAAGATCTCATTTGACCCTCACAACAACCCCAGGAGGTTGGTGCTGTTGTCCCCATTTTACAGAAGAGGAAACTGAGGCAGACAGCAATTCAGTGATTGGCCCAGGGTCACACAGCTAGGAGATATCTGAGGCTCCATCCACTGTACTGCCAGCTGCCTCATAGATCTATGATCCCATGACATTGGGGCCCAGAGACAAGGGCTTGGCCTAAGGTAACCCAGCAGTGGTCAGAAGCAGAGCTAAGATTTGAATCCAACTCCAAAGTAGGCTTCTGTTCTGCTGTACCTCACTGCCTACTCCGAGCCTTGGCTCTCACTGTTTTTAAAGTCTGGAAGACCTTCTCCAGCTCTTCAAGATCCAGCCCGAGTCAGGCCTCCTTTGTGAAATTTTCCTCTGACTCATCTGTACTGTATTCTAGTATTCCCTGTTCTAAGGCCCTTCCAGCTCTGACATTCCCTGCTCTAAGGACTCTCCCAGCCCTGACATCCCCTGTTCTAAGGCCATTCCAGCTCTGACATCCCCTGTTCTAAGTGCCCTCCCAGCTCTGATATTCCCTGTTCTAAGGCCCTTCCAGCCCTGACAGTCCCTGTTCTAAGGCGCTTCAAGCCCTGACATCCATTGTTCTAAGGCCTCTCCCAGCCCTGATATTCCCTGTTGTAAGGCCTCTCCCAGCCCTGACATCCCCTGTTCTAAGGCCCTTCCAGCCCTGACATCCCCTGTTCTCAGGCCCCTCCCAGCTCTGACATCCCCTGTTCTAAGGGTTAAAGTTGGGGCTAGGGAGCATTTAGGTTTAGGGTCAGAGTCGGAATCGGAGGGTTGTTTCTCTTCACATTGCTCTAAGAGCCTTCCTGACTATCCTCCAGCCAGCCCAGTCCCTGCTCACCCTCAAAGAACCGTGGCATGTCCAGGCCTAAGAAACCTTGGAAACTGTCCAGTTGAGCTCATTCCTTATTCAAAGGGGAAAACTGTGTTGCAGAGAGGGGAAGAGGTTAGTCAAAGACCCCAGAGCAGGTGTGGGGAACCTTCGAGCTGAGCCCACATGTGGCTCTCTAGGTCTTCAAGCACGGCCCTTTGACTGAATCCACTTCAGGTCCCCATCCCTGCCCCAGGGTAAGTCAATGGTGCTGGCAGCCTCCCAGCCCCACTTTGCCCTCTGTCTTCCTGGAGAAATGTCAGGGGGAGCCTCTGAACCCCTTACCTGCCAACGGCATAAGCATAGGCCCCGGGCCACAGGTTGGATCGAATCACGGCCACCGAGTACTGAGGGCAGAGGGCGCAGGAGAGGCGGGCTGTCCAGGGGGCCAACTGCAGGATTTCTGACGGGATGAAGAAAGAGAGGAAGAAAGGGTCAGGCTGGAAGAAGGGCCGGCCTGGAGGGGACGCTCCCTCCCTCCTAACCCTCCTCAGCCCAACTGACTTGGGTGATATGGAGGAGATGAGGAAGCCTCTGGCCCAGAACCCTTCCCTGGTCACCTGGATCAAGTCCGGAGGGATGCAGTCCTCCGAGGCTGGGCTCCCCTCCCTCTCTACTCCCATCCCTTTCTGAATCTCACTTATCCCTCTAGTCTCGGTTCTCTACCTCTATCCTGCAGCTTCTGCCCTGTGCCCCAGTTTGGTAAGTTCAGCTGCTCTTTGGAAACCTGAAAGTGCAGCTGGCATCTCCAACTCCACAGTGTCATCTCTCCCGCTAAGTAAACCCGCTGCTCCCCTTAGCTCTGAGGACCACCATCCTCCGAGTCTCCCAAGCTTAGCCCTGGCAGTCAGCTTTGTTCCAGTCTCCCAGGAAGAGGTGGCCCTTCCCCAGCCCAGGAGAAGCCCTCAACATGTGTCCTCGAGCCTGTGGGGCCCCCCCATCACCTCCAGGATCTTGCCCTTTTGATCATTTCCTTCTCTCCCCCCATCTTCCATCTCTTCCTCTCTCCTGGCTCTTTCCCTGCTGCTACGAGCACTCCTGTCCTCTTCAAAGGCTTCCCAGGTCTTAACAGCAGGAACACCACAGATTCACCCACCCAGCCCTCCTACCCCCCACTTCTCAACTCTTTCCAGGCAAGTCAGGCTTTTGATCTCACCACTAAAGAGGAATGTTCCCTCCCAATGAATTCCCTCCACTAATTATCTCTCAACTGCTAAATCTCATAACCTTTCTCATTTCCCATCTTTCTTGACCCCTCAACAGCTTTCAACACTGCCAATCAATTCAATTCCTCCACCTACTATGTACAAGGCCCTGCTGGGAAAGACGAAAAAGGCAAAACTATGTCTGCTTCCTAGGAATGGCGGCTGGTGACTTTCCACGGAGGGGAAAGGGGATGATCATTTATTAAGCCGGGCACTGTGCTAAGGGCTTTTTACAAATGTTGTCTCATTTAATCACAACAGCCATGGGAGGTCGGTGCTATTATTCTTGCCATTTTACAACTGAGGAAACTGAGGCAGACAAAGGTGAAATGATTTGTCTAGGGTGACACAGCTAAGATGTGTCTGTGGCTGAATTGGAACTCAGGTCTTCCTGATTCCAGGCCCAGTGCTCTCTCCCCTGTTCCTTCCTAGCTAGGAGAATCAGTATCAAACCATAGAGTAAGGCCTCCCCTTCTTTCTTCTCCCAATTCTTCCCGAGTAAACTGAGACTGATTCCAAAGCTTATTCTGTTCTACAAAGTACCTGTCTGATTTCTGTTGAAGTATTTTGAATTCCTTTTGCCAATGAGATCAACCTGATCAGTCCACCTGCTCTGTGTCTGTATCTTGCCTTATTTGTGGCAATAGGGAGGATTAGGGTTCAGGTATTGATTTACAAAAATACAGGAAGGACCACGTTTGAGTGCTGGTCCCCCATTGTGACCAACTTTCCCTTGGCTGAGTTCAAAAGAAAGAGAATCGTGTGGTTTTTATGACTAACAATTTTATATACTTCCCCAAAGGCAGAGCTAAATCAAATCCGAGCCTTTTCTCTCCCTTGCTCTGGACTGAAAAACAAGACAGAACACTATTTTTGCTGTCTGAGGCAAGGCGGGAACTTTTGGGACAAACGGCCCCAATCACTTCTCCTTCCTTCCTCCAGTCTGAGCCCAGAGAAAGGGTTGGAGTTGATTCAGGGACTAGGAAACAGGAACTGCCTGAGGGGAAGAGAAAAGATGTGGCTGGTCAGCCAGCAAGACCCCCACTCCTTTCCTGAATCGCCCTTCACCTCCCACCTCCACGCCTATGCCCAGTCAACCGCAGGTGTGACACTGATTGAGCTGCTTGTGTGCTGTATCTATCTCCTAGAAGAATGGAGTGATTAGTGAGTGCAGTGAACGATCCCTCATTAGACTTGCAGTTGGGAAAACCTGGGTTCAGATTCAGCCTCTGATATGTACAGGCTGTATATGACTCCTCTTGGTTACGGTTCCCTCATCCATAAAATGGGGGAGGTGGACCAGAAAACCCCCGAGGAGGTCTCTCCCAGCTCTCAATCTCTCATTCCATGAGACTAGCCCAAGCTAAGGTGTGGCGACGCTTTAGGGAAAGGTGGGAGCTGCAGGAGGCTGTTCCTGTTCTCGCATACGCAAAGGGCATCAGGGCTCACTCAGACCCTCAAGGTCAGGGGGACCTGGCACAGCTGGATGCTGGCGTATCATCTTCCGCTGAGGCTATACCGGGAGTAGCTGCTCCAGCCCTGTGTCTTCCTGGAGAACTAACCTTAAAGTCAAGAAGATCTGGGTTGAAATCCTGCCTCTGGCACACATTGGCTGTGTTGCCCTGGACAAGTCGTTTTACCTCTAAGTGATCTAGGCAACTCTCTGAGACTATATAAGTTGTTGAGAAGGTACCAGTCTCTATTAGTAGAGGTAATTCCCTGTACCATTGAAATCACAGGTCCAGTGCCCATCCCTGACCCTATTGTTTATGCATGGGAAAGGGGAAGGGGTTGGTCCCTCCTCCCCACCGCTCACCCCAGGCAACCTAGGAGACGAAATCACAGGAAGGGGCAGAAAAAGGGGCTAATGAGGTGTTAATGTGTTAAACCCATCTCTACACTGTTATCCCTTAAAGAAGCATGAAGCAGTTTGCCATAGGCTGGCCGCTAAAGAGCAAACTTGTCAGCCTGGAGAGATAGTCAAGGCAGAAAACAGCTTTGTAGTGCCTGGTCCCTGTATCTAAACTGAGCAAGGGTGAGGTGAGGGGGAAGAAGAGAAGAGAGGAGAGAAGAGAAGCAAGGAGAAGGGA